CTACAATCCTGGGCAACAATTACGGGTCTTAGCCCTGTTTACATCTCATGACCTTGACGGCATTAATATTTAGATCTGACCATGTATCCTGTTGTTTTCTTGGTAAATATGGACCTGGTTGTCTCGATGGATGGTGTGCCTTTTGAAGCTGCTGAAAAACTTTACTTCAAAACCATTTTCGTTATCATCATTCTTACCAATATAATGAGTGTTGTTTTCTATCTCGTAGCGTAATCCCCAGCTTCATGACTTTTTATTTTTACTCTACCAGTTTCATCACTTTTATATTTTCTAGCATTCTTAATATATCTTATCAGCGTTGTTCTACTGATCCTTCAATCTTTGGCAGTAGCATTCTGGCACTGGTTGAGATTCATTAACCTCAAGGCTTCCATTGATGGTTTTTGGTTGAACGACTCAACAATAGTACATATATGTATTAGTCAAACTATCTTGATTACTATACATGCATGTGCTATGTGAAATATTAAATATCAATACATAACTGATGTTTGTGACCTCGAGGGGGCGAATAAGATGCATGGGTCTCGAAAGGGGGCGAAGGAGTGAAAGGTGAAAAAAAACCAGGTTGGGAAACACTGCTCTAGTTTATGTATCATTTTCATGATAATGAGATGAGGATTTAAGGGCCATGCCTATGGGATCCGTCCTGTTTGTGGTCATTATGTATTTAGCTTTACATAATGATGTTCAATAGAATTAAATTTTCCAGTAACGTCGGTCCTATATGCTCCTACCAGAAATGGGGATCCTCAATTTTGGCACATGTCGGACCGTTACTTTTCGGTTATGACCCTTGATTGTACGGAAAATCGCGTTTTATAAAAAAAAGTTTAAATACTTCACTGTTACACAATAATTACCGTAGAGTTTGAATTTTATAAAAATCCAACCGAAACTGCACAATACAATGGCTGTTCCCTGTACGCAAATAGTGTAAAAAAACATGTAATCCCAAAGTTGTGGACCTTCTAAAAGGTCACAATTTTTATCCGATTTTGATGAACCTTAAAACCTGTTATATCACAAAGATCATGTTCTCTACCGATATTGGCGAATATCGGACCCCAACTTCCTGGATTATATATTATTGTACGAATAATTACGTTTTTAGCTTGTGGACCTTCTGCGGGTCCTAATACTTATTTGATTAAAAAAATAATAAAACGTTTACATATATTACCGTTATCCCATAATACCGGTTGAGTTCGAATTTCACAGTTATCACTGTTACACCATAATTAAAGTTGAGTTCCACTTTCATTAGATTCGGAACGAAACTGTCTGACAAAGTGGACACTCCCCTTTACGTAAATAGTAAAATAAGCATATAATACCCTTTTCATCATCATTGATGTAATGAAACTATACTGTGAGATTCACCCGGCTCATCCACTTAGTCTTCTTGTTCATAAGACTCAACTAATCAAGTTGCTTAGCTATGCTTAACTTTAGAGGAAAATGCTAATCCCCTGACTCCGGCAAAGACATTCACCCAGTAAACACTAACACCAAGTTTGAACATCCTGACTGAGTGTGAAGGCGAATTATTGTCTGGACCCATTCGATTTGAAGTCTCTTATTGGCTTATAAAGCAGAACAAGCTCATCATTGAACTCAGTGAAGGTATTGGTGCACGATTGACCACTGTCACTTTCGTCCCATCCCAACGAATATACGTTGCCCTTTGACATACCCTGACAAGGGTTATCCCGATGAACCGTCTCAGCCAACACCACGATCGAACACTGGGACACCTGGTTAGCAATCCAAGGTCTTACTCACTGAGCCACCATGGCTCCAAGTCCCAGAGAGAGATAACCAATGGACATATCCAATGAATATGCATATTCAACAATTAGTATGATTAAAAGCTGATTTATGACGTCAAATGCTTTATTAAAAATAAATATAAGCCCTTTTTAAATCGTGTTTATCAAAAACAAAACAAAAAACAAACAAAAACATTTAAGTTTTTATTAAATCGAAGGAAAATCTATAAATGAAAAATAATGTTACATTTTATTACCGGAAATTGTATTTGTCTTGTATAAATCAATAGTCTTATTCATTTAGGGTATCGAATGAGAATTCAATGAAAACAAGAAGTATTGATTTTGAAGATGTTTATGCGGATCTCGAAAACAATAATGATTCTCTCATAACCGTAATAGAGAGAGAAAAAAAAATGGAGTTTAACGTCCACTCGACACTAACTAGGCCATTTCGGAACTAACACGTACCATTGCCTGCCAAATATTAACAAGTACTTACTTAGCAACTAAGCCATATTGGATAACGTTTTAATTATGAAGTATAATTTTGGTTTATTTTTTACCATCAATTTTTTTTTACAGGCGATACAATTGACAGAATTCAGTGACTGTTTCATAATCTCTTGTACGACCTGCGTACTATGGTAGTCCGGTCGCCAAACCCAAAATTTGGAGTGAACCTGGAAATTTTGTACGAATTTTTTTTTTATAATTGATTTTAGTAATATGTCCTCTTTCAGAATTTGCCAATTGAACCTGGGTCACCCTTGAGCTTTTGAGAAATTCCATATGGCGTCCACAATGGCCTCCATTGCAAATAAACCCCTATAACTCACAAAGTTTTAGTTAAGGATGATTATTTTGGTGCCTAAAAATATGTTTTTGGGGTCTAGAAATATTCTGAAAACATTCATTATATTGCGAAGTGATTAAATGATAGTAAAATCCCAAATGTTGGCCAATATGGCCCCTTAACTCTTCAGCGAGGGTTGGGGGGGGGGGGCGATTATTTCACCGAACCAAAGTATATTTAGAGACAAACTTTATATTTCAGGACATATGAGCATATGACTGATACGATGATACCACATACATGCCTATCATGGGCTCCATGGCCGGATGGACCGCCCCTGAAAAGAGAGCACAGACGTTTTTTTTAACATTTTCGAAAATAACAAAATCGAATTCTACCAGCACCCCCCCCCCCCCCAAAAAAAAAAACCCCCAACAAAACAAACAAACTAGGTAATATGCAGTTGAATCCTTTAATCGTAATTCCTGCTGCAACCTGCCGCAGCACAAGCACAAAACACTGTACAATCTAAGCCACCCCAAGTGCACACGTACTATATATGAGGATTAACGTCATGTTGATCTGCGCCGACCGGACGCTCTACAGTGGCTATGAGGGACATTTTGTCCGGCCAGCGTCGCTAAAGTATTCTCCCTTGTCCCTTGCCCAGGCCTTCGGTCCTGTACCACTTACAAGGAAGGAACTACGCCGGAAAATCCGGATAATAGGTTGCAAGGCAACAAAACATAAACCCACAGCAGTTATGTCGCCCGGCAGATCAACACGGGTTGTCGCATATCTATTGTGAGTAATGGAAGCTTTTACAAGACACAAGACATTATCAAAAACAATTAAATTTTGTTGGTTTCTAGTTCTTCAAGATGCTAACATTTATTATACAAAACATGTACCGGTAACAGCGATAAATGTGTATTTTAATTTCAAATCCACAAGCTTTTTAAAAGTGATCAAGGGTAATAACTAATTCTAGACTTCTTCATTTCATGAATATAAACACAGTGTGTAGAAAACCCCAAGCGATTGCCATGCAAAAGACGGACGGAGAACAGTGAAAATCGAATTTGAAAAAAAAAGTTAAAAACTAATACGAGATTCAAGATTAACCATTATAATTTAATCTGGCATACACATACTGACATACCCCAGTCTTAAAAATAATGTTCTTATTGGTCAAGGCTGTTGCATAGTTTTAAGGAACTAGCCAAAATTGGGGACAATGACCAATGGTCAAAATGTACATTGCTTAATATTTTGTTTATAAGAGCATAATTTTTCCGGTCTACTGTCCACGATGGTGCATTCTCGATGTTCAGGTATCATGAAGTACCAGATTGGGTCATTCTCGGTGTTCAGGTACCTTGAAGTACCAGATTGAGGCATTCTCGGTGTTCAGGTATCTTGATTGTTAGCAATTCAATAATGTTAAAGTGTATCTCTCAAACAGGTATATCCCTGTAGTATGTAATTTATTCAGTGTGCTCCATAGTAAAAATACCTTTTATGATTGTTTTTCTGAGAATAAATTGCTACAAATTTATAGATATTCAATTTTAAAAATAATATTGGCTGCCTTCACAAATCTCCTTGTTACCTTCCCTAGACCTCCTTGTTGCCCCCCCCCCCCACACACACACCAACCAACAGACAACGACGCGCTGCCCTTCATTACCTTCCCTGAACCTCCGTGTTGATTCCCGATACACACTGCCCTTCGTTACCTCCCCTGATCCTCCGTATTGTCCTCTGGCACATACACTGCGCTTCGTTGCCACACCTGATCACCCCCCCCCCCCCCAAAAATAGACTGCCATTTTCGTTACCTCCCCTGATTATCCGTTAAAGACCATTGTTACCACCCCTCTGGTATCTCAAGTCTATAAACGAAATGCAATGAAATGGGGTTTAACGTCCTATTTTTCTGCTTCTATACTGTGCCAATGAAGACGTGTATACACCATACAGTGTGCTATGAGTGAGATTTTGCCCGGGCAGCGGCACTATGGCCTACTTTTATATCGAATTCCAACTCCCAAGGGATCTTTTACGTGCACGCCAATGTTCCGTCCCATCCGAACAACTATACAGCTGTCTTTATCAGGCCCTTGTGTCCCATCCGAACAACTAGACAGCTGTCCTTGTCAGGCCCCCGTCCTGCACCACTGACAAGCGGAAACCACCACCGAAAATCACGATGAACTTTCTCGGCCAATGCAGAGATCGAACAAGCGACCTCCAGGCCAGCGAGCCAACGCCTTACCCACTTAGCCACCATGGCCCCCTAAGTTTATAAACTCTTCCTACTGACATATATTGTCGGATTCGATGGATGTGTATGGATTATTCACCCTTCCACCTCATTTGCAGTTTGAATTAAAAAGGAAAATAAGATATGACTTTCAACTTTTTTATCTATTTTCAAAACAATAAGCCAAGGGTATATTTTGGTAAAATGGAAGATTGACATTAAATCAAAATGAGATAATCAAATGAAATTGGGTTACAAGAAAATAGATTGTTGAAGAGTGAGATTTAAACATTACAAAAGCAGGTCTTCAAACCGACGTTGATGATGAGACCTTTCTCTTGGCAGTTGGCACAGCAGAGTTTCACGCCGTTCGCAATTGAAACATAGTCTGAGTTGCAGCCTTTACACTGACTTCTCTTCCAACAGTCTCCAGTCCAATCCCCTACAAAATACAATTAGAAGCGTTAAACATCAACTTCTTAAAATACAATTTTTCTATCTAAATACACACACACACCAAAACACACACACACAAAGGAGCATTAGGTAAGATTAGATAAAGAGCTGACAGTTCGCGCTATAATAATTTCAAAATAGATACTGAAATGAGAATATGCTTAACATTTCAGAGAAATTGCTTCACTCTGATCCTAGATATTGGCGATTCAATTTTAGACTAGCCTCGATCGTCATTACTACCGTTGTTACGATAATAAACAAAGTCTTGATTATCCACTTGAACAGCCATTTCATCGACAACAAAATTTATTCAAATCCACTAAATATCGCAGGCCAACGATGGCTTCAAGAGTTGATTATGGTTTTGATAAGTTAATGAATGTCTAATAAATAATTTAGATAACATTTAGAGCCTAAAGAAAGACATGCGGTTGGATGGCCGAATGGTTAGCACATGGGTGCTGTATCATAAGGTTTGTCATTGAGTCAACTGGCGTCGTTTCGATTCCCCGGTTGTACGTGACAAGGAGTAGGGTCGCCTCAAGAACTGTTCACGAGTGTTCAGCGTTAATGAGCTTTTAATCCCTCTTAATAAATTTTTTTAACCAACTAATTAATGCCATTTTGAACACAGTTCATGCCGGCGTTATGCCTTCAAACATGAATTCAATTCACTATATTAATATAAATAGATGGTCGATCTGTGTCGAAATTATATTTATTTTAAAATGGCAAACGTTCAGGTTAATATTCGCTTTATCTCCAATAATCGAGGTGGCCGAAATTTAATACACAATGGTTAAACGTACCGAATAAAGTCAAGCAGACCAAATGCCGTCCATTGGAAATGTTCAACAAAAACATGTCCAGCTACTGTAAACACCAAGAATGATGTTCTTACCACTGTTGGATCCGAACACAATCATCAACCAGATAATGTAAAGATTAAAGTTGATACGTTTTTGTCATCCATGATGGATTTGGTTAAAAAAGATATGGACTATAGTTTATAACACCATTGTTCTAGGATTAACTCTGGATTAGCGGCAAAATTTGACATCAAAGCCTGCCGGCAAAGTGGGAACACCCCCCAATAGGCAGATTTAGCTCTGGCATAATGCATGTTTAATACATTCATTCAGCATTATAAGAAATAATACACAAACGATTGGCTAATTATGCGTGTTACTATGGTGTATCTTTTCTTCGTAGCCAAATATAAATATATATATATCTAGATTTTTCAGTGTGTTGCTATTTGTTGAGTTAAGAAGAAGCGACAATTTATATAATGATGATTTGTTTTTGTAGTGTTTTTGTATATACTTATCTCGATATTTCTTATAGACCGGGCACACTAGAATTATGGAGCTTATCCTGTCCCACAAAGTAAAAAATCTTAAAGGTTCCATCAGTGTTTATAACATTTTGCGATTGACACACCGTTCTAAATCCATTACTAAATAAAGGACATTTTATATAACTTGTCCAAGGGTTGTAGCAGTTACCGTTCCCAATTACTCAAAACACTATTATTACTTTTAATTATGTTTAACCAGTACTTAATTATTGACATATTATTCTTCTCTATAGTAAGAGGATATCCACGAAGATCAAAGGCCACCAACACGCTGCTTGTTGACGTTCTTACATCCAGCAAAATGATATTCCCAGACTTCTGGCGCATAATTTAGAACTGGGGCGACGTATGTGTCAACTAATGCTAAACTGGTTTGTGCATTAAAATGGTTGTCCTTGATTGTGCATTAAACTAAAGCAGGTTTTCTGTCCCACTGGGCTATAGTTTTTTTTATTGTAACCGACTGCAAGCAATGCTGCCCATCACAATATGCGACCTATTGTGAACTATAAACACGGTTGCGATAATTATGACTAAAACGTGTATAACTTCAGTTCTTACAGTGATTTGTGTCGAATTACCTCGCCCCGGAACTTACTTATCAGTGTTTTCATCAAATTTCACCAAATCATCTATCGAAACGTGTTTTAAAATCTCAACCGGCCTGGACCGGCTTACCAAAACTTTGTGCCCCTAAAACTAAATTAAGATTATTTGAACAGCTATACTTCCAGTAGAACTTAAGTCTAGTTCACACCAACGGCGAATGTCGCGCTTTAAATCGGCGAGCAAAGCGCAACCATTTTTGTTTATTTTTCCAAAAATATCACGATCTCCTAAGTAATGTTATGCTCTGATAAGCTCTGATACGAATTGGTTACGCTTTGGGGGACGAATTATTTCTCGATTTGATCAGGCCTTGTTACGCTTTAAATCACGTTTTGATAAGCTTTATTACGCTTTGATGCGATTATGACGCTTTAAATCACGCTCGGATACGATTATCAAGCTCTGTTGTGCATTGTTAAGCTATGTTACACATTGGAAAATTTCAAGATCACCGATTTCATGCCGCTTTTGATCCAGAGCAGATCCACAAAATCATTGCATCTTTGACTCCACAACACGATGGCAGAACTACAAGATCCAGAAGTTCCAGATGTGCCAGAGCATTATCTATCTGAAGAAGACATGATGTTTGTCTCCCTACTGTATAAATACATCCTAGCCCTTGAGGCGGAGGAAGAACAGCAAAGACAAGGGGAGGTTGACCTATCAGCAATTGGTGCCTTTGATGAAAAACATTTAGCCATCAAACACAGGCAGTCTCTACCACAACTACAAGGGGTTCTTCTCCATACCAATGCTGGCCTTGGTAGATGCGCAGTACAAGTTCATCTGGATTGAGCTGCGAGGTAAAGGACACATGTCTGACTCCCAGATATTCAGACTCTGAGCTCTTTGAATGCCTAGCAGGCAGATGGGTCCATAGGACTGTCCCCATCATGCCCTCTCCCTGGGGAAACTAAGCCAGATATTCCATACTTCACCCTGGTACTCAAGTCGCAGCGCTGGAGACAGAGCTTGGGTATCGTAGGAGAGTGTGAGAGAGCGTCAGGAAGCTTGTCAAGCGTAACAAAGCCTAGCAAAGCCTAGCAAAGCGTTTCAATCCTTGATCAAAGCGTGTCAATCCTTGATCAAAGCGTCTCAATTCGTGGGAAATCGTAACAAAGCGTGTCAGATATTCATGCCAGATCGTAGCAAATCTTGAGACATCTTAATAAAGCGTGTCAAGTTGTGACAGACCGTGAAGACTGGGGTCCCCGTTTTGAACAAAGCTCTATTAAGCTTTCCTACGCTTTGAGTGAAGCTTTGCTGAACTTTGTTACGCTTTGTTAAGCTTTAATACGCTCTCGGCGCTTTAATCAATTCGTGACAAAGCGACCAAAATTTTGAAACAGTCTTAAAATTTGTTGGCGCTCTTGCCAATTTGTCCCGCTTTGCCCAAAGCTTCCCAACGATCTATTACGACCCTGACGCTTTAGTCGAGTTTTGTTACGCTTTGGTGCCGCTTTGCACGCCGCTTTAAAGCGCCATCAAAGCGCCGTTGGTGTGAACCTAACTTAACGACCAGTGAAATCTTGTCCAAACGTCGAGTGTATATAATATAGTGATTGTTATCCATAGAACTGTGTTGTGTTATATTATGTTCAATCGCTTAATGCCATTCAAAGATTAAAAATATTCATCGTTTAAATGTAAACTGTCTTTGTCTTTTATTTGAAACATGTACACGGAGCGTCAACTTTCTTTTGCCCAGTAATTTATTAAATGAGGTAATTTAGTCGAGCTTTGGTGCCGCTTTGCACGCCGCTTTAAAGCGCCATCAAAGCGCCGTTGGTGTGAACCTAGCTTTAACAACATTGTAGAATAACCTGCCATCAGATGTTAAAGATACACCTCCCTTATTGAAGAGTTTATTAAAACCACCTGTTTAAAGAATATTATAACATTCTGTTATAGCACATAAACTACAATGTAATATCATTAGACTGTTTGTAGAGCTATGAGCATATACTTAGTGTATGGAGTTTAGCGCGTAAAAAAGTGTACTATTATTATTTTGATTATAAACCAGAAACCGACCATGGCGTCATCTTGTAATTGTGACGTCATATAAAAATCTGGAAATCGAAGCGCAATTGTCTAATAAACAGGCATCTCAAGTTTCATGTAGATCGTACTCGAATTGACGCAGAAGAACAAGAGGATTAAAAAATGTATGGAATCAGTTTCAAGTACTTACTTGCCATGCCATGAGTTACATCCACCACTAAACATAGAGTAACCAATACAACACACATCAAGCTAACAGAATTCATCTTGTATACTATAACATACATATACAAACAAATTTAAATCTATAAACAGCAAATAAAACGCAGAGGGGTTTCCTAAATTTTTCATTTTAATATCTTATGTTTTGTTGAAGACTGAACAGTTATATTTTAGCGCTATATGAACCCCATCAAACTGTAATTTTGAAAGTTGAATCACAAATAGAAATTATTATCAGTCCAAAAATGGTCCAATTAAGTATTTACAAATAGATATGGGCACTTCATCGACCTATTAGAGAGTTTAACGTCCACTCGACACAAATTAGGTCATGTCGGGACCAACATATGATTCAATTTTATTTCAATAATTATCTTGCGCGTAGGGGTCTTTAGCAGTGGGAGGAAACCGGAAGAACCGGAGAAAACCCACTAGGTTGGACAAGGCGACCCTATTCCTTGTCACGAACAACCAGAGAATCGAAACCACGCCAGTTGACTCACTGACAGACAGGCCTTATGATACAGCGCGAACGTGCTAACCATTCGGCCATTCCGCCCCCCCCCCCAAAAAAAAAAAAAAAATCAATAAGGTCTGCAGAAGACATTATAAGCTGTTATATAAAAATAAATATCGTAACCAAGAGATATATATTTCGTCAGGTATTTAAAAATAAAGATTTTACTATAATGAAGGAAAAAATCACACAGTAAATTAAAGTCTTTTTTATATTTTTGGAGTAACACGCGCCAACAATTCGAGATGTTATTATTAAAATAAATTATTTGAACTTTATTTGGAATAATTGTTAGAAAATAAAACAATGCTACACGTATTTGCAAACCCAGCAATTGGTCGAATTTCCATAAAGCGAACTGTAAAATAAATGGAATAAAAACCACTTACTGAAGTTAATGGAATCTGTAATAGTTTCTCGGTTTGTGGATTATATCACAGCTCGCGCTATACACGCGCTTATATACCCAACTAAACATCCTGTTTACTATGCAATACTTGACTAATCTTCTCTGAAAAAAAAAATGATCGATTCAAAAATGAATTGCGAAATTTGCCTTATTTGTTGCGCAGGTAAAGGCCAGTCCATTCCAGTCTAATACAGTCAGTTTAGCTCATTTTAGGGGGAGCTTTATTGCTTGGAATTGTAAACTGTCTAATTGAGGAAGAGCTGTTTTATTTGCACTAATTATGTGATTGGTTAATTATGCCCGGATGAATCACAGATATGTCTACCTCACGCCCTGTTATTCCCAAAAAATGAATAAAAAATATTTACGTGTGAGCGAGGCCCGTAGTTAGATCAATATGGTTGAGTAATAAGGCCAAAAAAGAATACCTTAAACTTTTTTTTCTCATTTTCTAGGCCCTATAACTCGATCTTGACGTGACTTGAAATTGCAGCATTATTTTCAAGAACCTTACTCAATAATTAAGCAAGACCCACGAAAAATAATAAATAAATAAAATAAAAAGATATTCCGACCACCCGTCCCTATTTTTTGTGACCAAGTAAACACCGTTATTTATTTTCGTGGCCTAAGAGTGTTGCAATCTAAACAGGTGTCTTTCAATGTTCTGGCTTGATGTTGCAATCTATTGTGAATGTTTAATTTATGTGTTATTCATTCATTTGAAATACAAACTAACGGATGTGCATTAAAATATGTCGGGCAGGACGGACAATAGATTTCTAGCTATTTTGGGGATACACATCACCTTATGCTAATCAGATTCGTGTTGAAATGAGGACAGATCATAACCATACATAAACAAAATGGAAGCCACCACACATACGTAAGATATGCCCTTATCTTCAATCAACACATTGAGAAAGAAAAAAAAAACAAAGCAAAAACAAAAAAAAAACTTTTTAATGTCTCGTTGCATCATTTTACCGCAATAGGACTCCCTGGCAAAATACAATGTTGATTTTCAAATTTCATTGATCTATGCTGCTGGCTAAATAATAAGCCGGCAGTCACGGAGGCTAAGTGGGTAAGACGTCGGATTTTCCGACGTAGTTTCCCCTTGTCAGTGGTGCAGGACAGAGGGCCTGACAAGGACAGCGGTCTAGTCGTTCGGATGGTACGAAAAACTGAGGTCCCGTGTATGCATTGGCATGCACGTAAAAGAGATCCCTTGGCAGTTGGAATTCGTTATATGAGTAGGCCGCAGTGTCTCTGCCCGGGCTAAATTGCCCACATAGCACACGGTATGGCATATGACCGTTTTCATTAGCCCAGTCGGAGCAGAATACTAGGACGTTAAACCCCATTTCATTTCATTTAATAAGCCCGCCGCAATTTTGTTGTGGGCCAAAAGAATTGAATCATAGGTCTATTTTAAAGTAGCTAAGTCTCTAACTCAATATCATCCAAAATCTTCGACACTGAAAACACGAATTATTTGTCAATTTAAATCAACATTGGTGTTGTGACCTTACGGGGAAAAAATGGGCTTCTGATATCCAATAATTAAGACAAAATAAACATTTTACCATTGGTACACGAATCGTGTACCATGGTGCATTTCAGCGCCATTTTTAACAAGGGACTCGTAGAAAGAGGCTAGATAAATATTCCACAAGTCATGTCAATCGGTGAAGTCATATTCTTATCTGGAGAGCATGCGCAATAAATACTATCGGTATAGAGTGGAATAACAAGACGCCAGAGATTGCCATTTGATTGAGACTTCTGGCGTATTTCGCCGAACATAACTGATTAGAAATTGCAATAAAAACAGAAACGATTGAATGTAAATCAGTTTATATACATTCACATTACATTATTATATGCGTTGCGACCCATTTGTGTCAATTTCTAGATCCAAAATATTAGCGATTTAGCTCCTTTAAAGTTGATTGAATTCAACCTGGGAGGTTATCTAGCGTTAGTATATTCGTTTCTAAATTAAACATACATTATGCAAGAGCTAAATCTGCAATTTGCAGGTCTTTCTTTAGATCTGAAATGTTATCTAAATTATTAATTAGTCATTAATTAACTTATCCAGACCATAATCAACACTCGATGGCATCGCTAGTCTGCGATATTTACTAGATTAGAACCCAGTCTGCTGTTTCTGATTAAATCAAAAAAAGATAATCGAGATTATGTTTTTTATCGTACCGACTTTAGTAATGATGATCGAGGCTAGGCCCAAACTTCAATCGCTAAATACTCGGTTCAGAGTGGATCAATTTTACTGAAATGTTCAGGAAATTTCCTTTACATTATCTAGTTTTTAATAATTTATTATAGTGAGAAGTACCAACTCTTTATCTAATCTCCCATAATGTATCTTTAATATATAGATTTCTTAATTAAATGTTAAATAATCAACCTCGGTACTTATTAGCGCGAAGTTTATGCCGTGAACAATTTGATATATTTTAGCGAAAAATTTAAATACGCCGGAAATTATTGAAGGCTGCTGTTTGAATTTTGGTATGTGCAGTGCACATGGCTCTTAACGCACAATGTTCACGTGATATCATATCCTTAAATGGGAAAACCAACGACTTTCAACAAGGTTTCCATAACTCTTAAATATATATTTATACATAATCCCCTCTGTAAAACAAGCAAAAATATTTTTTGTAAGCAAGAAATTAATTTTTTTTATTAAAACCGGAAGTGACGTAGTTGGTGCAACATGCTCAATGGTCTCTTTAGTAAGGATACAGGTTTGGTATAAGTTTACTGCTGTATTTTGTTCACGCCTCGTCCTTTGGCCAAAAATTTGATCAAATGGGCTGTTTATTAGGATATTATAAACAGCCCATTATGTTTTTTTTAACGTTTAGTACACAAAGCCGTTGCGTAATATCACTTATACTGAACACATAGCTAATTGTTTACATCACGTTGATTCGACTGGATATTTTATACTCTTTTGCTGTAGTCATAGACTGTTTGTGTTTTAGTCATGTATTGTATCCTAAACAGTTGGATTTAGAAATAAGAGTAGAGCTAGTGTTCAGGCAACAATTCCCATGGTCGCACATTGTATGACGTATGCCCACCTTCATTAGGAAATTAGAACGTTAAACCCCATTTCATTTCTGACGACGGCTCTGGTACTCTGACCCTCTCTAAGTAACAAAATGAAGCAATGCCGGAGTTGGGGGTGGGGTGAATTAATGTCAACAAAATACTAATAAAATGTATTAAACAACACTGAGCGCCCCGAAATACCTATATAGTTGTCTCGCCAGAAAACAGTTTTATTCAAGTTAACATATTGTTCATTTCATAATATGATTATTATTGATTTTATTGATATTATGAGGGGCGCCCCTTCGTCTGACTGTGTATTAACAAAATAACCGACAGTGAATATAAATGATATAACACTCATGTTGTAAGATAGTATTCATCATAAACACAAATATAAATTTCTTTCTTCTGTTATAATACAAGTTTATTTCCAAAAAAATTCAATGTGAATTATCAACTCTGGCTGTATTAAAGATACATTATGGATCCACAAGCTAAAAACGCAATTTTTCGTACTATCAGAGGCTATAATCCTGGAAGTTTTGGTCAGATATGCGCTAATATCGAAAGGAACAGAGACCTTGTGGGCATAACCTTATATTTCGAGTTTCATCAATATCGGATAACAATTATGATATGTAAACTGACGTCTAGTTACAGGAATTAACTGTGTTCTGTGTGCTAGTTGTAAAACTATAAAATGAAAGTAGAATTGTCTGTTTCTATTTACGGATTGATTTTATGTCGCATCAAACAAACAGCAGGCTAAATCCGTATATCACGATTTATTTTAAGGCGACCAAATGCCGGCGGTTCCCTGCCGCGGATTTATTAACGTTCAAACTTCGTTGATGAAAACGACCTGTTCTGAGGTACTTTCAACGATTTTTTGTTCATACCAAAAACTAATACTACATTGAAAGAATTATATTATATTATAGAATTCTAAAACGGTGGATGTAAAGTAGATCTGAGGTGCTTTCAACGATTTTTTGTTCATACCAAAAACTAATACTACATTGAAAGAATTATATTATATAATAGAATTCTAAAACGATGTATGTAAAGTAGATTTTTTTTTTGTTAATAGTAGGATAATATATAATTTAAGATAGATTGTATTTGGATTGAAAATAGTATCCTATTCATCCTACCCTACTCCTTTGCAGTTGCGTCCCTTTATCTCAGCATACCAAGAATATTCGCCAAAATCTATTATATAAACTGATTTACATTCAATTGTTTCTGTTTTGACTCTCATTTCAAATCAGTTTGTCCAGCGAAATACGGCATGAGTCTCAACCGAATATCAATTTCTAGCGTCTGGTTATTCAAGTCTATTGCGCATGCTCTCCAGATAACATATAGCGTCACCGTTTGACAGGAGTTGTGGAATATGCCTAGCCTCGTTCTTTCTGGTCACTTGTTACAAATGACGCTGAAACGCACTGTAAAAGGTTTATTTTGTCTTAAATATTGAATATCAGAAGCCTACCTTTTCCCGGTAAGATCACAACATCAGAGTTGATTTGAATTGACAAATAATTCGTGTTTTCATTGTGTAAGACGTTGGATGATATTGAGTTAGAGACTTAGCTACTTTAAAATTCAAGAAGAGCGGCCTTCTTAAAGTAACTGGTCGGACATGGACGAATTTTGAACACTATACCTTATCTATAAAAATGAAACGGGGTTACAGCCTATTCTTATTTCGACTTCATCTGTGAAGGGTTCGTTTAATTGCTCAACCTTTCCTTTCCCCGAACGACTCGACGCGTACTTTGTCAGGCCTTTGACCCCTAATAAGGGGAAACGACGCCGGCGTCTATAGAAAGTGTTAAGTGTTCACTGGAACCATTATTGACTACTGTGTACACCATACTATTTTGGAGTCGGTCTACAAGCCACAGTAAATTGGCATGTGCGTCATCAAAGTGCTGTAAATGTAATTACTTGTACTTTACTTGCTACTGATCTTAAAGCACATTTTGATCTGTTTGTTTCAAAGATTTCAGAACAAAAAGTTAGTTATTCATAGTATTAACCTAATAATTATCAAAACAAATATCGGCCCCTTAAAGCGGCTAATGGAACATACTACAAATGCAAACAGATTAGTGGTCTTATTAAAATAACACTTTTCATGGATTCTAGCCCGTTACAAAATGGACATTTATTATTTTTTTCCATTTTCACATGATAGTGTTGTTTGCTAGTGCTCTTTTTGATTTTAGTTAATGTCATTGCCACACGCGAAGTAATGATTTGGAAGACACGGCATATAATTATATCGGTACTTATTTAACTGAAATTTATATATTCGATTAACACTGAAACATTTAGAAGCCAGGTATACTGAAAGCGGTAGAAGTCCCATTTTTCTAGTATATGTGAGCAAATTGGAAGCGCTCAATTAGAATGTGGCTGGTAACTAAAAGTTCTGGAGAATTGATTAAGTGCCTTTCTCCTACGGTTGATACCAGTGGGGTTTTATCACGACATGTCTGCCCACGGTCTCCTAACTTGAATTCCCTTTGTCAGTGGTACGGGAAGGACGGCTTGGCAAAGAACAGTATTTAGTCGTTCAGACGGGACGAAAAGACGAGGACCTGTGTATACCTGTGCACGTAAAAAACCTTGACAGTTGGAATTTAAAATCAGAGTAGGCCGTAAACGGTGCAGGATTTACCTATATTTTTGGCAGGCTTCCGCCTATGACCCCAAAAAGTTCGGTTAATTACTAGAATTTTTTTTATATTTATTTCAGAAGTTTTAAATATGAAGTCGTTACAATATATCATTGGCATAATATATGGTTTATTTCTCACCATTACATGTAAACAGGATTTCTACAGCAGATATAATTTACAGAATCCGGTGACTATCTTTTACTCTCATGAAATAAAGGATCTACCGCGTGCTACGTGTGCACTATTGTGTTCATCTACTGAAGGTTGTTCATGGTTCTACTGGTACAACAGATCCTGTCATGTACTCAACGGAGCCTCGCCTGGTAACAGTTCAGTAAATATTGGATTTATTTACGTTGACGATGCACTTGGGGGTAAGAACTTATGTTAATTTGAGAGCCGAGGTGGCACAGTTAGTAAAAATCACAGCTGGTTCGCTAACCAGTGCGTCTCGGGTACGCTTCCGGCGTGGTTCGAGAAAGTTCCTCGGGAATTTCCAGTGTGGTGTCCCCATGTCAGTGGTGCGATACGGAGCCTAGGCACGAACAGTGTCTAATCGTTTGGCTGGGACGAAAACCATGTCCCGTGTACACATTGGCGTGCACGTAAAATAACCCTTGACATTTGGAGTTCGATAAAAGACCATTGCGCCGCTGTCCAGGCAATACATTCCCATAGCACGCTGTAAGGCATATGCCCAGTTGGTGCAGAAAAAAACGTAAAACCGCAGTTCATTTCATAAAATGAACAGTTCATTTCATAACATGAACATTTTGCGATCATACACAGATCTGGGATGTGCGCCAATAATCGGGGATGCTGATGCAATAAGGTGGACAAGTGTCGTTGTTTTTAAATAAGATTATTTGGGTTTTTTTTCAAATAAATCCATTTTTAGCAGATTTTCTTAACAACCTGTTCATTTTATCATATGTATCACTAAATGTCCATTTTATAACGGGCTAGAATCCATGAAACGTGTTATTTTAATAAGACCACTAATCTGTTTGCATTTGGGATACAAACGCAATATGCGCCATCAGCCCCAGGGTATTGTACACGGTTTATTTGATTGATTTTATCGGTTTTTATTTGCTTATCGTGATATTTAACGTACTTTCAAGATGATGAATTGATAACGCACAATTCAAACCGATGGGTGAAAACATAAACCCAATTGTCCAGATGAAAACTAAAAGAAACCCTTTTACTACTTGTAACGGTGACAGATGGACAAGGCTATTCCTGGAAAGCGCTTACCAACCGTATTTTAAATATTTGTATGTAATGTGACTTTTATTTATTTAATTTTTTAAAAAATCTATAACAGTATAACTGCAATAATTATTTGGTTGGAGCTGACGTGCCATAAGACTCCATTTCATCCGGTGATGGCTATCGTAGAGTGTACACAACATTGGGGTTGGGGACAGAATGGTTAGCACATGCGCGCTGTAGCCTAAGAAGGTCTGTCATTGGTAAGGTTTTCGTCGTTTACTCGCGTCACTCGAGTCGATTCCATTGCCGAGCCCGGGTGAAACATCCCGAACGGTCCGAGTAGTCACATGACATCAAAACAGTTACGACGTCAGTATGTGATCGAGAGAGAGGCTTTTTTGCGTATAGGACGACATTGTGTCACGTGACAAACCCTTTTACTCTCCGCTCAACGGGGAGTAAACGGGTTAGTCACGTGATGCGACTCGAGTCAGTCATGTGACCAACTCGATTCAAAACGCGTACGGTCTGGTGTCGACTCGAGTGACCAACGAAAACCTTAGCATTGAGTCAACTGGCGTAGTTTCGATTCTCGTTTAGACCTTGGATCAGATTTAACTATTTAAACATATAAATCTGATCCAAGGTCTAAACGAGTTTGATGATATATGTTTATGCCGTTTTATAAATGGATCTGTACTCACAATTATGTTTACAGATAATTGTCATCTAGCTGGGTATTTGCCCATATTAGGGGGGTTATTATGTGTAAAGGTATACAACACACCAAAGAATTGGATAGACGCCAAGGCAACTTGTGAACAAGATGGTGGACAGTTACTTGTGATGAGAACGAGTGTCTTCCATTTTAAACTGAATGCACTGAAGATGTTACCTTCAAGTAAGATAATAATTTTTTGTTGCTATATAAATATTCTTTGGCTTTATCACTTTTGTGTTATTCTTTAGAAATGTTATATCCGTCTTCCAGCACGTGTGTTATTTACCAAATCCCATTTTTCTTATCACTCAACGTGACATAAACTCGGCATGATGGCTGTTGGATGTAAAGCGTCACCACACTCCAACAGATCTCCTAGCATTTCTATTAATTAACTCAGTACGGTTGTCAGTTCATTTGTATTACATCGCCCATCCTGGCCCACAGTACGTTCCACAACATCCAACCATAATATTTTAGTATTGAAATTTGTAGTATATTGCTCGGATTCATCGCCCATCCTGGCCCACAGTACGTTCCACAACATCCAACCATAATATTTTAGTATTGAAATTTGTCGTATATTGCTCGGATTCATCTGTTGAATGTTTATATTTCTTAGTCTCTACAACCGTGCAATATTGGATTGGAGGCAATGACATGGATGAAGAATCCAAATTTATGTGGATAGATGGGTCGCAAGTTATAACCGAGGGATGGCGACAAGGGAGCCCGAATGACTACGGCGGTTATGAAGATTGTTTACTACTTCAATACTGGCAATTAGATGATTACACCTGTTCTGAGGACCGTAAATTCCTATGCGAAAAGTCACTGATATAAGTCTTTAGTAACAATTATCTGCTAAGTCAAAATATAGACTGAAAGTATGAGAATAGCTTGCAAGTTACATGTATTGGGAGTAACAAAATATAACATTATAGTTGATTTATCTGTTTCTATACTACGAGCAATAAATTATAAAATGAAAGTTAAATATACATTATGCAAGAGCTAAATCTGTAAATTGCACGTCTTTAGTTTAATTTCAAATGTTATATAATTATTGATTAGACATTTATTCACATGACAAGCCCATAATCAACTTGCTAGACCATCGGATGGTCTTGATTTTTAAACGCCCACATTTTCATGTGGACGTACTTTATGTGCTGCCGAATTTAATGTAAGTGCTATATAATGGTTAATGATCTATTATTAACTTGTTAAAAATGATTTCTATCAAAAAGTAAATATATTAAAAGCTTTTAAAATTTCTTTTCATTTTACATCACTACTGTCACCGCAGTTATTTAACGCATTGCGAGGAATGTGTTGTTTGTTTTCTGTGTTGTATTTTTAATTACTTGTTGTTTTTTTTTATCAGCGTAGATTTATTAAAAGGCGAAATGAAATGAAATGGGGGTTTAACGTCCTACTGTTCTGTTCCGAACTGGGCTAATGAAGACGAGCATACGTCATACAGTGAACTATAAAGGAAATTATGCCCGGGCAGAGAGGTACTATGGCCTACTATATCGAATTTCAAAAGCCAAGGGATCTTTTACGTCCACGCCAATGTATAGAACGGGACACGGTTTTCCGCACCATCCCATTCGAACGACGAGGCAGCTGTCCTTGTCATGCCCCCCGTTTAGCATCACTGACAAGGGGAAACCAAGCCCGAAAATCTGGATGAACTTTCATGGCCAATGCAGGGATCGAACACCCGACCGGTATGCTAGCTAGCCAGCGTCTTACCCTCTTAGCCACCGTTAGCACCCACGTCTCAATAGTGCCATTATGTTTATTATTTACAGTTTTCCTGTCAAAATTAAATATCCAGATAAATTTACTCTGTGGTATTTTACTACTTCTAGCCTAGGATAGTAAGAGAACGGCTGAACTAAAGAGTTTCTTCCATCCTTAAAATCTGACTTTGCCGCCAATGACGTATGTCACTATTGGCCGCATTTTACAGTTTATTTCTGTAGGCCATCCGTCCTGTACCCCTGGCAATGGCAAACCACGCCGGAAAATCCCTAGGAACTTTCTCGGCCAACACCGGGAAAGAACCCAAGACCTCCTGGTTAGCGAGTCAGTGCCATACTCGCTGAGCCACCGCGGCTTCTTGAGTCTTAGATCTACACATTTTCAAAGTGTTCAACAGCCCCCGGGGATTTGCTCTTAGGTCAGTGTCTATACATTAAATACAATAGTATCCAAAAATAAATGGATTTATAGGCCCAAATAGTGTAGAACAAAATACATGTATTTATAGGCCTGAATCATTACATCAGCATTCGAAAGAAAAGAACGGACAAAGTTAAAAGTTGTGGTTAAATTGCAACAGGTATTATTTTAAGGAATTGGATGAATGAAGAAACATAAATACAAACCAGAGATCAACGAAGACTTTAAAGCAAAATATGTCTGAATCAAACAAGAGGTGACCAATATTATTTTCTTACAAACAAAAAGAAACACAGATAAGCGAATATTTAATGAATTGAGTGAATAGAAGACATGTCTTTTAATTGCATTTAAAATAGACGCCTTCTCGTATCATCAGCACATAGCATTTATTCGTTGCGTTGTGAATTTTCCGGTAGTTCTAAGTTTTACAGCAGAAAAAAAAATATACGCGGAAATAAAGGAATTCCGATCAACATGTCGCATTATCCCTATTTTTAGCCGTTTGCCGTTTTGGGAGAATCACAGACACCGCTGGTACACGTATAACAAGCCAACAGTGAGGCTGATGTCCCCGCCGAAATCCTAAAATAAATAGATGACACATATTAAGTAATCGCACATTTATTTTTTTTCAAAACTATCAAGCAATCAAACTATACACTAAGTTTCATCACTCTCTATCAGATAGAATCAAGATTATCTTGTCCCAAAGCATTGACCAATGAAATTGATTAGCTCTGCTTAGCTTCAGCTCGAAATGTTAATCATTGAACTCAATCAAGACATTCACCTAATGAACATCTGCATCAAGTCTAAACATTCTACCTCAATTAAAAGCAGAGTGGTTACGTTCCAAAGTATTGACTAATCAATTTGCTTATCGCTCATTAGCCTAAGCAGAAAATTCTCACCATCAAAATTAGTCAAGGTAATGATATAATGAATATATTCTGAGTTCCATCACTCTCACTTAATTAGAACTAAAGATTTCGTGTCCAATTTAGCTCAATGAGAGGGAGAGTTATTGTGTTCAAAGGTCTCGACCAATCAAATTGATTATCGCTCTGCTTACCCTCAGCAGAAAATATTCATAATCGAACTTAAAGGTATTGATGTAATAAAGCTCACTCAATTAGACCTAAAGTTATTGTGTCTTATGTATATCTACCAATCAAATTGCTCATCTCTGCTTACCCTAAGCCCAAAATTCTCATCTTCGAACTCCATCAAGGCATTGATAAGACCAGGAGCCCAGGGGCCCAACCTATCTGAAAAGTGTACCAATTTTTTCCTATATGTTATCAATGTATGTATATCTGGTATCATCAGAATGTAAGTCTGCCAGGTTTCCGGTGGTGGGTGTGGTATTCCACGCCCAAAATGCCATGCCCCCCAACTAGGCTAGATTATCTCAAAAGTGTACCACATGAAAATCGTACAGCAGTGTACCATACATCTTCAGGTGTTACAAAAACACTCTAACAGACATTTCTAGTGGTTGGTTACCCCTGACAGAGCTATGTAATTGTCAGACATTTGTAGTGGTAGAGTATCCCTGACAAGAGTTATCTAATTTCCAGTCCACAGCTAGGCTAGATTAGCTGAAATCTGTACCACCTAAAACAGCTTTGGAGTTGTTCAGTACCACCACAGGATTCATGAATGACCACTGCCAGACAGTTTGTGCGGTGGGTTACCCCTAATAGACACGCCCAAAATGCCACGCCCCCAACTAGGCTAGATTAACGGGCACTGTTCCCGTGTTCTAAAAAATTAAATTTTTAGCCAGGATGCGTAGAATACTAATACCTAGCACGTTTGAAAGGAAGCGAGTGTAAACCCTCAACATCTGCAACTGATAGTCTTACAAGTGATCAAGATTCAAGCTGTTTAGAGATAACTGGTGTTGTGCAGGGCCCTGTTTCTCGAAATCTTAACTAAAGATAAAATCCAATTTTAGTAGATACTTCAATTTTGATTGGCTGAGCACTAAAATCAACCTAATATTATCCAATCAATTTACTAAAATTTGGATTTTATCTTAGTTAAAATTTCGTGAAACAGGACCCTGGAATGAAATCAGTTAACATATTAACGTATAAATGAGATTAATGCGTTAATAAAAATGAATTAACCACAAAAACATGTTGTAGTTCTTAAAACGTTCAAGATTCCGGACATTAACATTTAGTATTGCATTTCAGTTTTACTAATCTAAGAGTTAATACAAGTTTCTGTTCAGCTGATATAGACTCTTTCTCTCTCCAATTGACATATATGTGGCCGCATCAATTCTTTCAATTCACGCAAACTTATAGGACATGTGTAAATAAATACAAAAAACACCTCTTCATCAGGATTGTTGATTAAGTTTTTGAAGGTTGTAAAGAACTCAACAAGAGCTGGTCGCACCCACATTCGTCCTCTTTCGTTTCCTCTACGCCTCCGCAAGTAGAAACCAAACCTAGTTTCCTTTTCTTCTGAATCCATTCTGTCCGAATATGAATGAGGGGAACAATAATAACTGACCAGGCCAGTATACCTACGTAAAGAGTATATGCTTGTAAACCGCCGAATATTGTATACACCTATGTAATAGCAGCCTTATAGCCCAAAGAGTCGGCTAGTCATCTAAATCTTACATATTGCATCTTTGTAATATATACAAAGATCTATTATAAATATAAATTCGAATGGAATAGAATATTTTAAACGATTTTAAACATAAATTGGAAAGAAATAGAATATTTTAAACATAAATTGGAAAGAAATAAAAAAAATAACAGACCTACATTCCTACTATAAACATAAAAGTCAATAAAAGCTATCGTATTAGATGAAATCGAAACCGCACAGAAAATTCAGTGTTGTGTTTAGTTATTATTCTGAAGTCTTGTGCGCGCGTTTTGTCAATATTTAAAGGTGACAATACGCTGCTGCAAATTCTGAAAATGATCAACCGGGCCTCAGAATGTCTTCACAGGTCAATAAATGAAATATAATGCCTTCGATTCTACAGACTAGTACAAGGGATACAAACGCAATATGCGCCATCAGCCCCAGGGTATTGTACACAGTTTATTTGATTGATTTTATCGGTTTTTATTTGCTTAGCGTGATATTTAACGTACTTTCAAGATGATGAATTGATAACGCACAATTCAAAATGGGGATTTGTGAAAACAAACCCGATTGTCCAGATGAAAAAAAACCCCTTTTACTACTTGTAACGGTGACAGAGGCTATTCCTGGAAAGCACTTACCAACCGTATTTTAAATATTTGTATGTAATGTAACTTTTATTTATTTAATTCTTTTAAAAAATTCTATAACAGTATAACTGCGATAATTATTTGGTTGGAGCTGACGTGCCATAAGACTCCATTTCATTCGGTGATGGCTATGTCGAGTGTACACTACATTGCAACATTGGGGTTTGGGGTGGATGGCAGAATGGTTAACACATGCGCGCTGTAGCCTTAGAAGGTCTGTCATTGAGTCAACTGGCGTAGTTTCGATTCTCCGTTTGTGGTTGTATGTGACAAGGAGTAGGGTTACCTG